ACCTTATTGAAATAGCTTTCAACCTTCTGGGACTTTGACGGCTTAATCTAGGCTCCACCATTAATACAAGAAGCCCGGACAATTCGAATCGAATGGGCAAGCTTTTTTGTTGTTGTGCAAGCCCCGGCGAACCAGCAAGTGAGTGAACTTCCGATGGGGGCCCAAACAGCCAAAAAAAAAAACACCCCGGCAGCAACAGCAAGAAACAAAAACACCACCCCGCAGCAACAGCCAAAAAACAAAACCCCGCAGCGACAACAAAACAAAAACACTCCCCCGCAGCAACAGCAAAAAAACAAACACCCCCCCCCGGCAGCAACAGCAAAAACAAGCACCCCCCCACCCGGCAGCAACAGCAAAAAAGCACAACAGCAAGCAAAAAAAACACCCCGCCGGCAGCAACAGCAACAAAAAAACACCCCTCCGCAGCAACAGCAAAAAAAACACCCCCCTCCCCCGCAGCAGCAGCAACAAAAAACACTCCTACCGTAGGTTGGGCAGCAAACCCCGAATTCCAAAAACATGATCAGATTCAACTTCTAAACCTGAAATGGGTCGACCGGTTCCCGAGCATCCCGATGGGTGCAACCAGATGTGGTCAGTCCAAATTGGGAGAGATGATGGATGGCACATCCACGACCGAGGGGTGCTAAGCCCCCAACCAGATGATTGAGTAACCCCACTTGAAAGAGGTGATTGATGGCACATCCAAGATCCCGAGCCTCATGTGAAAATCCAATGTTGAAATGGTGAATGGCAAAGCCAATAAACCTGCAGCCACGCTTCCAAAACGTGATTACTCCACTAGAACCCAGCACCCTCGCCGGGCAGGTTGGATGACAAAGGCTACAAAACTTTCAAAGGAGATGATGGGGGCTATATCCTACAACCGAAACAAGGAGCATTTGGAGATGTGATGGTTGGAAAACCCCGAATCCGTAGACGGAGCTGCCTGCTCCTGAAAACCTTCAACCCCAGTAGGCGATGATGGGTGATAAACCCAATGCGCTCGAAATAGATTATGAATTGCAAATCCCTATTCCGAGGCACTTGCCTTTCACAACAAAAATAATCCGACAACAACAACCCTAATGAAACATGTTAGGCCATATACTCGCAACAGGAGAAGATGGTGGCTCCGTCCACTGTTCTGCGGACACCCAACAGTCCATAGCAGAGGATCAGGTGCTGCCCATGCTCAACTTTATAAAAAAAGGTGCCTCAGGCCCCAAAGTCTGGCAATGCTGACTCAGATACGACACACACCCAAATCCGAAGGGACATGATTCAGGAAAATGTTTCTATCCTAAACATCCGACACGATGTCAGAAGCCACAAATCCTATGGAAAAGCTGCGCCCTGTGCTTCAATAGGACCCAATAGGAGGTGATGGGCCACCATGATACGAGAAGATGGGTGGCCTTGACGGGACTCAAGATTTCCGGGAAAGGTCCCGGGTTGGCTGCTTGCGCTGCCCGCACCTGGCGCAGCCCTTAAATACATAAACATATATGCATATACACATGCTTCTCGGGGTCGGCACGCTGACGTTGCCATGTGGGAGCCAAAAAACATATGAATTTGTACACATGCTTATAACGACTTTCTGGAGTGTGTGTCGGCGTGAAGGCCCGGCTTTTATAGAGTAAGCAAACCTTTTTGCCACGATTGTTGTTGTACTCGTTTGCAGGAGTTCGTGTCGATGCGAAATAGCTGCATGGGCACGCTGTGTGCAAATTAGTTACCTATGCTTCATATCATGATATACGACAGCAGTGTTATCGTATACGGCCGCAGAGCCAGGATGATAATTATTCAAGCCAGCCTACTGTACTGTAAGTGATGTAAAAACTGCCCGCACATTTCAAACATTGGATATGCGGGCGCTGCCAGGAGTCATTCTTAAATCCGGATAGACGGCGATACTGTTGAGAAGGTTTGCGGGGGCAGAACAGGAGCGCAAGGCGAGTTGGGAAGGCATGCCTAGGTATCACCTCAGCAGCAAGTCAAGCTCTCAGCATAATATGGATGCCTCATGCACCTCAGCCCTAGAAACGCGAAGCCCTGAAAAATTACGCAAAATTGGGGGGGGGGGTCTTGTCCAGCATCGTTTCTGCTCTAAGCACAACGCAGATTCGGATATCATATGCACCTCAGATCTTTTTTGCTCGTGTCCGCGACTGAGGGCGATGTTTCATGTCTCATGTGTGCGAGTGCTTTGCGAGCTACAGGGTTGCCAGGTCCCGACTGCCTGCCGGGAACATCACAGCATGTTCCGTGAAAGAAGCGTGCAACAAGTCTTTGGGAAAAACAATTGTGCCCCGCCGTCTGCTGCCCAACCTCATTGCAGAGAGCCTGTCCCTGCTCTTGGTATACGGCTTTACACCATGACTGGAGCTCGCTCTTGACAAGACCAGTAGAGATGGCACGCACAGAGCCCAAAACAATGGAAACACCTACAACAACCATAAGAATCATGATGTTGGAACTACTTGGCAGCGTGCCGCCATCCAGATCCAGACGGCATAGATCGAAAATCATGGTTTTCATTGGTCTTCCAATGTTCTCTGCTTCTTACCCACAGAAACATTGGAACACCAAGCCAGAGCGCCTTACGCTTTAGCAGACATCATTGGACACATCAGCAACAGCCGCGCACACACAAAATATACGAATACACTGTCACATGCGCGTACATCAAGCTTGAAGCACTTGAGCACCACTACCACCGCGCGCGCAGTTTCATTGTCGTCAGACATTGAGAACGGCTGCGGGATGGTAAGATTTGCGAGCCGTGATTGCTTACGACCTCTGGTCGCTCCTCTGAAGCTCAAATCACAACTATATTGGTGCCTCCCCCGTTCAAGGTCATCAGTGCTATGACTTCTTTCGACGTAACAACCTGTAAGGATCTGCCTCACAACGTTGCGGATTCCATCTAGAAATTGATTTTCGGACACGTGCCAGACAACTACGATGACGTGACCATTGCATATAAGAATAGCTGTTGGATACCTAGTTCATGTTCAATATACTCATGAGTGCCACTGGGGATTGTGTTTGTTCGTGCAGTGGAGCCCAGAGTCTGTGACGGCCATCTGGTTGGATGTCACAGAAGGGTGGCAATGCTTGTCTTTTGAGCCGGCTTCGGATATGTTCAATGTTCTGGAAGTTGTGCTTTGTTATCTGCGCTACGTAGGCCACTGGCTTTCCTTTCAGGTTCTCCTCCCGCAAGATACCTTTGATCTCTTTGAGCATACTTTATATGATGTCACCGTCAAGCTATATGCAAAATTTCAGAAAGTTGTCTCGTACCAAGTTGTGCCTGAAGCTTGGAGCCGCGAAGTGGCCGGTCTCGCATCTCAGTCATGAGTACTGTCTTGTGGGTCAAGCTGGGCAGTAAGGGCAGCAGCAGAGTCCCTTGTGAAAAATAAATGTTCAATATGGAATTGTTGTGACTATGTCTACCTGTAACGCTAACAAAAAGGAAAGTGTCCAATTGGTTTGTACATACCTTGTTCCATATTATGTAGCTGAGTTGTTTACTATATTGGCATGTTTCACTGCTCAGCTACAGTGCGGCACACGTATGTGCAAGTAACAAAATTGTGATGCACAGCTGGTCGATTCTTCGCCACACGTGACAGAGATGCAAGCAGTTTTTAACTAGCACGTAGTCTGAATGTTGCGTATTATCCGCACAAAACCACTGTTTAGATAGTCTTTAGTTGTTACTTCAACCCTAATTGCTGAGCATTAAGCCTCCCTTCTGCGTATAACTCGTTTGGTATTTGGGTCATGCTCGCCGCATCTTTCCAGATATGTCGTTCATTGAAGACTAATACCGGAAAGGTTTGTTCGTCTAGCGCTTAATTTCTACGTAGTGAGAGGTTAATGCAGCATTTTAAGCCTGTCGAAATACTTGGCGGAAATCTAGCTGATGTGCAGTGCCGAGCTCCCTACTTATATGTACGTAGCACTCTACATCATTCCAAAAAGACCAAAATTGGAAGTATTCAGCCAATACTCGTCGAGCATGTGATGCTCACATACAACTTAACCAATGTTCCCTTCGTACATGCGTCAGATCTACATAGTACTAGGTTTGCTAGCCAATAAATTCCTCTGCTGAACGTTTCCCTAACCGGTAGCTAGCTCGAGAATTTACAGATTCTTCAAGTTATGGCAAGGGCCAAGGGCATTGCATGATTTAGTCGTTTGTGAACTGGGTGCATATTTGCTTTTTTCGGTGCTATTTCCTTCTCTATGAAAGAAAAGGTAGTCACTATCTATTAGCAAGCAACTGCTACTCCGCGAAAAAGTATCTGTCCATTTTGTGCTGCCGCACCGCTTAATCAGTCTGACAATCACTTCATGAATTTTGAGTGTTCGTGGGTATTGTGTGCATACTGCCTATTGTGCGGCTTGAGCAGCATGCACGGATCAGGCCGAAGAATATGAAACGTCACACAAGTGGATATACACTTTAAGAGAAGCAAGAAGCCATGTGTCGCAACTGCTGCTTGACGCTGATTCGGTAAGAATTTAGGGAACAGATAATGACTAGATGAAGCATGGGTGAGGCGAACAATGCACGAAAGCGTATTTAGTTGAGGCCAGTGCCCGTGCACATGAAGTTCTGCAGACCCACACCGGTGGTATAAGCAAAATCAAAGGGGGGCAAGTAGCACATATATATATATATATATCTAAGTGTATGTATAGATACACGGGTCTATACGTAGGTAGCTAGGTAGGCAGGTAAGTAAGTAGGCAGGTTGATTTTGCAATCGCACAGGTGTGAACATTGCAGGCGTCTCTTTATGTGTATACATGCACACACACGTGTTTATATGCATATGTATATATATATATATATGTATATATATGCCTATACAAAGGTCCAAATGCAGAAAACCCTGCAAAACATGTTTGCTTATATAGGTGTATGTATATGTTTGTATGCATGTATACCATAGCCTTCCCCGAAGCATGTCTTGATGCGCTTCTTGCATGCCTGCCAAATTGTTGCATTGATGCCTGCCCGAAGCACCGATCAGGTTCTGGCCAGTGTCAGTCCCGCAGAGAAGGCTGCGTGTGCATTAGCCTCTATATGCAGCTTTGCACGTCCGGACCGTTGTGTGTTTGTGGAGGCTCAGTTCTTGGTTTTCTGCACCGCCAGCGACCGGGTGCCATTGAAAGGATGGCAATCCCTAGGCAAATCGTTAATTTCGCTCTGAAGATAGAGATGCCCAGGCTTGCTCGCGAGACTGTTTTGGCAGGTCTCATCGTGCAAAAGAATGGCGTCGGCGACGAGCGCCTACCATCTGCATACACCTGTTTCAGCGGCGCACTCGGGCTCCCTGTCAATAGGCATTGTGAGTAATCGTTGCTCGCCTTGAATACTCAAGTCTGACACCTGCGGCGAGGAGACTGTCTGGGACCGTAATCTATCTAATGCACGCATGACAGAACTTAGCAGGTAGGCAGTGTTGCTTGGGTCCAACACCCTTCCAGCAGTCAAAGTCGCAGCGCATTCTTGGTAGCAGAGTTTGCGGTTTCTCGACAGGCCAGCTGCTGCTTCCGCGATTCTCCACCAAGGAGAAGTTGCGCAGCGGGTTACGTGGACAGATCGGACATCTTAGCGCCGTTTTAAGGGCACATCCCTTGTTCCGATGTGGCATCGAGCCACTCCACAGCTAAGGCTTCTGCTGGTTCGCACCCAAGACATCTCCGTCTGTTATGACATGTTGTGACCTCTGCAAGTGCTCCGGGATGTGCTTCAAAAGACGCTGCTTCAGGCCATCGCTAATAGTGAAGGCTTCGGACTTCCATGAAGTGCTGGGCGTAGATTCTCTACCTTTGCAACCGGCACCTCCTGCCTGCTAGAGCGGCACTCCACATAGCATGCAGTGTCGGAGGACCGCCGGATTGCATGGCCAGATCATGTGCATATTTCGCAGATGCAGCTGCTGATGCCAGATGAAGCTAGACGAGACATTTCCAGAACTAATCAATGCTGAACATGTGGTTCCCAGCGGGTGCTTCTGTCACGCCGCTAGCATCACTGTTGCATCGTGTGTGTTCCTGAGGGGTGCTCAGTCTTTTTCGGTTTCATCACTCCGTCAAGGATCCACAAGCTGTGGCTTCAACCACCGAGCCTGGGAGAATATTCGAGATAAAGTCGTCGCATCAAAACTGATGCTCCCATGCCAGGTGTCGCAAACAAGTCTCACCTACGGCCTTTGCAAGGAGAAAGATCGGTTGCTAGCCTCGGGATACAACTACAGGGATAACAATCGTGTCCGAAGTTTAGGCTTCGGTTTTCAGATATTTTCGCTTTCTCTGGCGGGGTTAGATAGGCATATTGCAACAACTAATTTCTTTGCTGACGACAAAGACCATAAGATCCTAAGATATCGATCATATTCCAATCTTAATTTGAAAGATTTATATAAAAGGCTTGAAAGATATATATTAAAATTAGAAGTATTATATGAGTTTTGATCGAACTTGTATATATATATATAGAAAAAATCACCTGATCCACCTCCGTCTTTCTTCGATATATAAAAGATATAGAAATCACTATAAATATCGATGATTTTTTGATTTGGATTTTATTGATATCTATAGCCAAAATTATTATCCTTTTCTAGATTCTATAGTGAAATCTAAAAAATCTTTAGGAAAAAACTGAATTTGATTGATACTGTCAGAGAAAATTATTGGATTCTCTAAAATTTTTCAGATCTTAATATAAAATTAAAAAGTTCTAGAGGATATAATGATTGTTTATAGATACCAATAAAATCTAATTATTTCTTAATTTTTTTTAAAAAGAATCTAATCAAAAAGTCTGAAATAAAATATAGAAATCTAAAAATCAAAAAATATATACATCTAAGGATTTCATAAAAAACTTTGGATTTTTTATTTGCTAGGATATTCATGAACATTTCAATCCTTGAAGATTATATGATTATATTTTATTTATGGGGTATTTGCGAGCGCTCTTCGTAGGCTGATACCCAGGACGCGAACTCAACTCGGAAGTGGGAGCACAATCCCTGATCCGCACTACGCTGGCATCGAGATCTTGAAATTGATTTCCAATCCCGCGCACGAATTACAGAGCTGGCTTCAACATGCCAGCAGTCCTTTCACCCTTGGTCTCCAACTTCATGCAAGCTGGAGGCGCTGTAGACTCTTCTCCAAACCCAAGACAAAGCTAAGCCTAAGGCCCAGATATGCCCAGATCCAATCCTGAAAGCTTGCGCTGTGCCAACTTCTGAGCCAATGCCCACGCCTGCCTTCCTCGATCTCCGGGACAATTTCGGTGCTTTGGCAATATTTTGTGGGATTTGGAGGCATGCAAGGCTCCTGTCGGACAGATGCAGAGAAGCTTCACAAATCCTCCTCGCATCGCTGGCTGCACATCGTTTTGTCAGGTTCATCAGGACCACCACTTTGAATGAGGCGTTACCTGCTTTGAAGAAGGGGGATTGAAATGCTGCAGGCGCTTTGCGTGGAGTGAATGGATGGCAGGATTTCATAGTTGCGCAGTGAACTATTGAAGCGGGACTTCTGCAAGGTTCTGGCTGCTGAGAGCTCTGGAGCACAAGAAGTTCTCCTGCGTTCAAAGAGCCGTGAGCTGAGCCATGCAGTTCACTGTGGGTGGGGTTACTCTAACTTGAAGCTTCTCTGTGATACAAGCTCATGGCGTTTCACTTCTAGCCCCAGGCCCCAGCTTCCTCAAAGCTGAAATCTCCATGTATATACTTCCTGTTTGCTGCAGTGCGAGGTTGGCTTTCTGGTCTACAAGGGGCTATGCTGCCAGCCTGCACCTAGACTGGTGTTTGCTATAAACCGCAAGTAACTTGCGGTGAAGGAACACTGGCAGTTAATCAACATCCCATGTTTAAGACGAAGCTGAAGCGCCTATGCATTGGCCCATCTAGTATTATTAGCCCCATTTCAAGAATGCACCGTGAGGTCTGGTCTTTCTTCTCGCGGTCGTGTACAGTTTGCCCAGCGACGATGAATTGCAAGATCAGGTAAGCGCTGTGCCTAGATCCCACGACATGCAAACCTAATCTGCAGCTGCAGTCTTACAGGGTTTGCAGTTCTACAGCAGTCCTTCTGGAGATCACGGCAGCAATTCTCACACTCAGCATCCTGTCCACCACTGCAGCCTTCTGGGCAAGACGACAACAACTCAAAAAGTTGCACAACGTGGCAGAAGTCCTTTCGTGCCAGGTTCTTTGTTGGATAACATCTGGCTGGTTGCCTGAGACTCAAGCCCCGCTGCAAATTGCTAGGATCTGCAGGCTTGGGAATTAAGTCCTGTGTTTTTGAGAGCCTGCGTGCAAGAACAGGATATCTGCAATAGCTTGAGACAAGCAACCTTCCTCCGCCCTTCGCTGAAGATGTGACCTGTCTAAGATACTCCTGTACAGCATCCACTATCTGCCGGGGCCTCAGACCGCAATGGGATGGCAAAGTTCAGGCGTCATCTGATTCCCACATATGCCCGCGAGTTTGATTTTGAAGGGCAAAGACCAATGGATGGGTGAGCTTGCATTGCTTGATTTCTCAGCCGTCGTGGATGTATCTAGTCTAATCGAGTCAAGCGGCCTAGCGTCAGCTGCCGGGCCTGCGCAAGGCATTGACTCGTGCTTGAGTTGGGCCATGTTTGGCCAACAGCGCGCAGCCCCCATGCCCAAAGCCGCAGACTCCGCCATCCGGACGCTGCACGCTAATTGTCAAAGCCCTGGCTCTGACAAGGCTCATGGAGATCTGGCGCTTGCTGCACCGACCAACAGCAGTCCGGCTGCAACAGGGATTGAGGTGGAGGCTTTGCACTTCGACTTGTAATTGGAGCCTGGCCTTGGTTGTTAGGCCTCAAAAAGCCAAGGTTGCAGTTTGCTTCAGGCTTTGCAGTTACACTTATTATAGAGACTCTCTTGAAAGCAAACTCAACCCATTTGGCTCTTATTCGTTGTTTTCGGTGAAGTCTGCGAGACTTTGGCTAACGCCCAGGTCATAACGCTCCTGACGACAGTGATGTGGCTGCTACTGCCCGGAGCTTTTGAAGATTCAATGCTCATTGGGGTTGCAATCACTATCCATCACAGCAAGGCCAAATAGAAGACAGTTATTGCCTGATGAAAATGGAGTTTTCGGCACGACGGGCTTGCAGCAGCACTCTAAAGTTTGTGACACTAAGCTACCTAATAACTTGCAACCTTCAAGCATTGGCTTTGATGCTGTTTTGGCGTACTTGCATCTTGCGGATCCATGCGCATTCTCTGACACGAGCTTGCTTCAACAATTTGGGCACCTTCATTTGTGCTGAATTGCTTTCTGAAGATGACTTGCGCAGCAGTCTCGGCCGCGCCTGTTGAGGGCCATTGCGAAGCTGCGGCCGATCATCATTGAGATGCCGCTGCCAAACTCGCCAGAGACGGCAAGCCCACCGAAACATCATGCCTCTCCGACGCACAGCCCTTTTTCCATGGCAACTCGCCTTGAAGGTTCAATTAAATACAGTGCCGGCAAAACGTGTTTTGAAGAAATGGCCGTTGTGAAAAAGTTTGGGGCGTAATTTCGCCAGGGTGACTAGGGTTTATGATGCAAGTTCTTGATTGTCTTGTGGGGAGGCGGCGGAGTGCAACATTTTGAGGGTTGGCCCGAAACCTCCAAGAGAGCATGCATTTTCAGCAGCTGCCATGCCTCAAAACCATGTCTGCCGGCTGTTGGAGGTCCCTCCGATCGCCGCCGCAAACCTGCCAAGGCTGGTGCCAAGGCTGGTACAGTAGTACTAGTCGATGCTGCGAAGAAATGTAATATGCACTCGGCAGCTCCAGCCTCCAGCAATCGAGTAGAGAACGCAATCTGCGATGCAGGCTAATGGCTGCTCCGCCGGTGGATCAGGCATGGTATGCGTGCGCATGTGGGTCGCGCCACCTTCCAGCTTTTGGGGTAAAGATGACACAGGCATCCGAATATTCGACTGCCCATCCGGCTCAAAGGGCCATGGGCCGCTTTGTGCGCCTTGTTGGATAAAAGATGGCCCCGACAGCACTGGATTGCATTCAGCGCTTCAATCAGTCCCTTGGCTGAATGGGCGTTGGCAACATTATTGTCATTGCACCATGGGTTCTTGATAATACTGCTAGATGGTTCCTACCAATACGAGCAACGTCTAATTTGAGCTTCCGCGCTTGTGTCATGTTTTACGAAGGCCGGTGTAAGTCACCCCTCTTCTTGGGCTGGATTCATCATGGCAACGGTAGAGAAGACTTGCCCTCACGTGACACAGAAATTGGTGCAAACTCCATCAAAAGTAAGAAGTCCATCCCCTCAGATGGCGGATCCATTGCTGACTCTGCTGCCGCGGTTTTTGGGCCTTTTGCTGAACTGCCACACTGACCTGAGGGCACTGGGCCGTGCACCATCAGCATCATCATTGTCATGAACCTCCGTAGCAGACCCCCCCCCCCCCCCCCCCC